ATATAATGAGTCATTTGGAGGTTCAAAAAATAATAATCAAATTAGAACTAATCTCAAAAAATTTGACTTGCATCCTTTCGTATAAGTTTTTAGTCTTTGAGGATTGCATTGTCATCTCAAAAACTTATATATCAAGAATAAAATATTATATCATATTATAAAATTTTAATTATAAATCATCATAATTCAAGAATAATATAATTTAATTTTCCTACATAATAACTCAAAACTATTATATATGACAATTTTAGATATATATAAAATTTTAATTAAATCAATCACTTTAAAACATATTATATTATATTATATTAAGATATTGAAATATATCATAATATTAATAAATAATATTAAGGAATGTCAAAACAAATAGAATATTTATTGTTATTTATTTTGTATCGGCATAGCAAAGATTTGTTAAAATTTCGATAATTACCGTCTTAATGAGAGAGTGTTCAGTTTTGCCAAAAAAAACACATAAAATTAATGGTTCATGTTTCAAATTTTCTTTTTTAAATATTGTCACCGACTTTATTCAAAAAACGATAAATAGATAAATTATATTAACATGTTAATATTCTATAACATATTATTTAATATTAGAATAATAATTTGATTTCAAGATGTTAACATCAAATTCAGCTTTGTAATTATAGAATAATAAATGAATAAAATGACAGGTGATTAATCAAATGACTTTAATTATACCATTAAAATTGAAAGTCAAATGAAATAAATATTGTTACTATAAGAATTTGATCAAGCACGCCAATTTTTATTTTATTTTTACTAATACATAACTAAAATATAGATTAATAAAAGAAACCAAAATAAAGGTATATCCCAATTAAATTTTATAGAATAAAAATAAACATTACACAATTGCTGAATTTCATATTCTCAATATCCCGATGAATAATTTAATAACAAAAAGTAGTTGTGGTCGCAATGAGATATCTCCACTTCAAAGATTTAAGAGTTTGCTATCAACTACTAAATTATTTTTACATTGATACATATTGATGGAACAAAATGATGAAAGGATTTTCACAAAGTCAAAATATTCTCACAAATCAAGCCATCAATAATTTATTATTGAATAAAGTTTAACACTTTCTTATAGAGTAAAGAGTTCACATATATTACTCTTATTCATATTTGAGGATTTAAATAACAATAGTTATAAAATATATCTAATCAGAATCTAATACTAATAGATGAATTTAATTGATTCGTATAAATAAAAATTAGAGAATATTATTATATTAAAGAATAATAAAGTATTATAAAATCGCGTGTACTTTGTAGGATTGAAGAGATTGACGATTGAAAGAGTGAATATGAGAGAATTATTATCCTTATTATCATCTAGAGTTTGCAGTGTATATTAATCGTCTAAGGGAGACAATACTTAAATAACTGAACGGCTGAGGGCAGAGACCTCTAATCGGACTTAACTAAATGGTTCAATTCATCATAGTCCATTCATGCACAAAATTCAATCAAATAATTCATCAATAATTAGTGTCTTATAAGAATTGACCACAATATAGTCTATTAATAATTAATTATGTCAATCCACATTTGATTGATCAATACTTGCTAACTCCAAAGTAGAAAGTTATTTTCTTAGAGTTTGATTGATGATTGGTTGAGTTTGAATATGCAAGCTACGTTGAGGTAGCTTGGGATAAGCGAACCACATGTTTGATATGTCAGTCTAAGAGGTTGTGGCATACCAAATTTATTAAAAAAATAAGGCGCATCCTACATCATATACTTTTAAAAAATTTAGCGAGAAACTACTATACGTATTGAATCTATCAAATAATTTAGTATATCATCTTTGTGTGTTTTTAAATAATTGTTAAAATAAGTATGCTTAATTTTTCAAAAAATTCAATACACTTCATATTTTAGATAAATTCTTTTATAAATCCATAATAATCAAACAATTCTTTTTAAATTTATTACTTTATCTTAAATATTTAAAAAATACGATATAAAATCATAGATTTTTTAAAATTTATAAATTTATAACAAATTTTAAAAAAAATTGAAAATCCGAAACCTTGCTACCTAGAATACCTTATTTTATTTACTTAGATGTAAGTTTAGGGTTGTGAAGTAAAGTCTTACAAGATTAAGTGGATATGTTCATGTGTCTCAATTATCTAACTTTCTGTTTTGGTTAATGAAAGTGTCACAGATGAATGCCATCCTTTAAGAGGTCTTCGTCAGGGTGAACCCATATCACCTTTCCTTTTTATCATCGTTTTTGAAGGTATTGCAAGTCTCATGAATAATGTCATTGTTTCGGGTTCTTTCCATCCTTTCAAGATTAACAATAACTTGGCTTTTTACCTTCTGCAATTTGTGGACGACGCAATTATGGTGGGTAAGGCTTCGTGGGATGATTTATGGGATATCAAAGGCGTCATGTGAGGCTTCGAGATGGTGTCTGGATTAAGAGTGAATTTCATAAAAAGTAAAATTATGGGAGTTAATGTTGATGCCGACTTTCTGCAGGCAACCTATACTTTTCTATCCTGTGCAATCTCCTTCTTGTTGTTTACTTATCTGGGCTTGCTGATATGAGCAAATTCATGTATTCTCTCAATGTGAGAACCTGTTTTGTTCAAGTTTTGAAAGAGGATTTCTTTATGGAAAGGGAAATTAATCTCAATTTGTGGTAAAGTGTCTCTCCTAAAATCGGTGTTGAATTCACTATCATTGTTCTTCTTCTCATTCTACAAAGCGCATAAACAAGTTTTATTGGAAATTATTTGAATCCAGCGCACTTCCCTTTTGGGATAGAGAATAAAGGAAGAAATGCATTAACTGGGTGGCATGATCAACAATATGCAAGCCAAAATTGGAAGCTGGTTTAGGCGTTCGACAATGTGAAATCTTCAACCAAGTGTTACTAAAAAAATGGGCTTGGAACATTCTCTCTAACGAAAATATGCATGGTTTTCTTTTACGAGTCTTTAAATATGGAGACATTAAAGCTTTGGTTCTTGATCCATTATGGAAATTGTGAGATTCAAAATCATCAATTTGGTGGCGTGACTTAAGGATATCTTTGGGTAGTTGCAGCATCGACAACAATTGGTTTGGAAATAATATGTTTCAGATTAGGAAAAGGTGATGAGATTGATTTTTGGCGTTATAACTGGATTAGTCCGACTGCATTGAAGCTTGATTTTTCCTCATTGTTTGTCTCGGTGCAGAAAAAAAGAATTTTAGTAGAAAATTCTGGTTCTTGAATTAATGGAATTTAGGTTTGGAACCTTGGTATCAATTTTGTTTTCTCTGTAGGTTCGCTAAGAGATGGATGGGAAGAATTACATAACATCTTGGCTGAGGTTGCTCCAAAACCAAATGCTTAGGACTCTTTCATGGTGAAGAGATGTTGCAGGGTTTTTGGTCAAAAGTGCTTACCACATACGATCAACGACTTATATTTTGGATGTAAAATTCTATCTTAGACTTAAATTGTTTTGTTGTTCTAAAGCTGGTTTGGAAAGCTCTTGTGCCTAGCAAAATTCAAATTTTCGCTTGGAGAATGCTCTTTAGTAAGCTTCAAACTAAGGACGCACTTACTCACCGAGGAGTCCTGTTAGAAGCTCACGATTTGGTCTGTCCCTTTTGTCTTCGTCACGATGAAACATATTCTCACATTTTCCTTTCTTGCTCGACTTCTCAGATTGTTTGGTTTGTGTTTGGAGCGTGGTTGGATTCAGGAGGGGTGCTTCTTTGTGACTCAACTTTAGATCATTAGTTGACTTATATCACCCTTTTAAAATGCTATATAAAGAAGAAACTGCATTTTCTTTTCTAGTTCTCTGAAGCCTGATCAGTTTAGTTTTCAAAACATCATACTCCCTCCGGTCCTTTTTACAAGGAACACTTCACCTTTTTAAATTAATTAAATAATTAATGTACCTAGTCTGTATTATAGACCAGATACATAATTATTTAATGAATCTAGAAATGTGAAGTGTCTCTTATAAAAAGGACCGAAAGAAATATTTTTGTAATGATTGTCACAAAGGGGTGAAATTTTTTTCTCTCTTTAGCTAAGTACCTTGAATGAGATTGGTTCGGGTAACTTATAAGTTTAACGTGGTTGTTGATTTTAGAATTCAGACCTCGTGTACAGTGTCTTGTATAAGCAGCTTTTTGTTATTTCGAATTACTATTTTGTATTGATTGAATATTCCTAATATTATATTTTAATACGATCTTTTTGTTTATAAAAAGAAAGAAAAAATAAAGTCCTTCAATTTTGAGGAGAGTTTATAGGTAAGTTTGTTTTAACTTTAAAAAAATGCATTTTTTCTTAGTATTTTTGAAAATGAATTTTACAAAAAATGTTTTTAAAAATATTACAAGTTTTTTTAAATTTATGTTTTATAAATTAAAAAATCAATTTTGATATACTATAACATAAACACACATTATTGAAGATTAAAATATAGTTAAAATTACAATTTTTAAAAAGTTGTATTTCAAAAATAATTTTTATAAAAAATCATTTGAAATAGTTTCAGAATTAAATAATTTTTTAAAATTTTTATATCTAAACAAATTTAATAAAATAGTATTTTGAGAATAATTATCAAATCAAATTTTATACTATAAAAATTATTTTTAAAAGAAGAGAAAAACAGCCGCTTATATCCGTCCACTTATAAATCTAAATAAAAATTATATAAGAATACTTTCAGATATATATTTTGACAAAAGAATCTATGAAGAACCCGCGTTTTAAACTTGGACTGAGAAACTTTCATTCTGACAGCTATGTTCACAGCTCACATGCGCACCACTCCCACGATTTCAATTTTCAATCATTTATGCAAATTAATCGATTAAAATAATAAATCTTACTGTAAATTAAAAATTCCAAATCCAACAAAATTCACATTTTAAGTCTAATCCTATCTACACAATTCACAACTTTCCTCTCACAGATGACCAAAAGATCACCACCACCAATGACGCCGTATCTCACGGCGCTTGTCCTATTAACCACCATCTCCGCCACCGCTGCCGCAACCGGAGGATACAAAAACCACACAGTAGGTGGCACCTCCGGATGGTTTTTCAACTCAACCACCAACACGCCCGCCACAAATTACTCTTCTTGGGCTTCCACTCAAACTTTCAACCTCGGCGATTATCTCAGTAAGCTCAATCTCTCTCTCTCTCTATATATATATCGATTTTCGAATTCATTATTATACAATATCACTATAAAATTGAAATCGAATATTTATTTCTCAGTTTTCAACACGAATTCAAACCAGAGCGTGATTCTCACCTACAACAACACCGTGTACTTGAACTGCACTGCCGATGATTCCGACACCGGAACATTCATATACAGCAGCGGACCAGATAGTTTCAACCAGGCGTTGACTATTCCCGTTCCGTTGACTATTGTGGGACCCAACTACTTCTTCTCCGATACTAGCGACGGTGTTCAGTGTCAGCACGGTTTGGCATTTGAGATCCAAGTCCAGCGTGGTTTAGGCTTGCCGCCGAGTCTTAATCAGCCTCCTCCTCCGCCGTATAAAGAGCCGCCTGGTCCTGATAATGCTCAATCTCCGTCGGTTACGGTAGCGGATATGCCTAAGAATGACGCGTTCTCGAAACGCGCTGACGTGCGCGTGGGAGTTTATGGGTTGGGTGCAGCACTTGTATTGTTGCAATTTTGGTGAGGTATTGGGATAAGTTTCACACGGTTTCTTACAGTTCTGTTCATTTTTTAGATGGACAATAGAATTTGTTTTTGTTTTTTTATTTTATTTTATTTAATATAATTTTTATTTGAGTTTTTTTTTTTTCTGCGGGACAGAGTTTAATTATCCTTTTACGTTTGGTATTGACAACTTTTCTCTGATTTGTAGTTATGTATTTAATTTATCCCATTTGATCCTATTTATAATACTCAAGAATAAATATGTTTTATTTTTTGTCATTCATGTAACAGTCGTAGTAGAAATTTTAAGTGTATTTATTATGAAATATTTGTATATTCTCTTTGTTGTAAATTATATGTAATATAATTACAAAAGTACTACTTAATAATAGTATTAGAAAAATAAATTAAAAATATAGAGTAATAAGTGATAAACATTATATAGAAAACAATAACAATGTTTCATTAAGAGACTTATAACTTGGAACATTTGTATTTATTAAAATATACTCTTTCTGTTTTACTCTTTCTGTTTTAAAATAATTGTAGTTTAAAGTTTTTCATACAGATTAAGTAATGCAATGATGTTATAAGACTTTATATATTTATTAAATTAATTTTATTAAAATATTAAAAATAATGTACAGAGTAATAATTAAATGACATAATTGAAAAATTTGTAATTATTGCTATATTAAAAAGTGAGAATGACAATTATTTAAAAATAAATTTTATTTGGTAAAACGATAGTCATTTTAAAAAGGAGATATGACTATATAGTTTGGAAAATGTTTGTTTTTAAGATACTAATGTTTCAAAATTGTAGTGATAGTCTTGCCATTATTGTGTATGTCTTTGTTGACTCTTAAAGGATATTTTTTATTGTCGATATTCAAGTTATTGATTCAACGCAAATGGTATAACTTCACCCCCTAGAACATCTTTTGTTTGTAATTGCTTATAGTTCAACATTCTTATTTAATTTCTTTGAGATGATTTCCTTATACCTATTCCTTTTGTCAAAGAAGGGTTTGACGTGGACTAACTCTTTTTTTGAAGAGGCATGTGTGTTGATAATCACAATCAATTCATCTTTGAAGAGAGTTTTTCATGCCTGATTCCTTTGTTAGGAAGAGTTTGATGTTATTGTAGTTGCTCCTTCTTAAGGGAAAGTTTTACATACTTGTCCCCTTTATTGGAGAAGTTTGATGTTGTCAGAGTCATTCCCTTGAGAGAAAGAGTATCACAAGACTCAGTCTCTTTATTGGGAGGGGTTTAAATCAGTCCTACCGCTTATTCAGGAGATGTGAATGTGTTGATAATTGCATTTGACCCCTATTTGGAGATAGTGATCTTTTTATTGAAAGAAGTTTAACACGGTCCTACCCCCTTTTCAAGAGGGGCCAATGTGTTGATAATCATACTTATTTCTTTTTAGGGGAGAGTGTCACAAAGATTGATCCTTTTATTTAGCCGAGTTTGATGTGATCATAAGAGAGACAAATGTGTCGATAATCATAATTAATCCATCTTTGGGAAGAGTATTGCGAAACCAAGTCCCTTTATTGAGCGAAGTTTAACGTAGTATGACCACTTTTTAGGAGAGACTGATATGATGATAATTGCAACCGATCTCTTTATGGAAAGTATCACAAGAATCAATATTTTTTATCAGGAGGAGTTTAACATAGTCCTACCTATTTTTAAGAGAGGTCAACATCTTAATAATTGTAATTGATCCATATTAGAAATAGTACTATAAGATTCATTATGTTTTTTGGGAGGAACTTAATACAATCATACTCTTTTCTGGATAAGGTGGTGTGTAGGCATATAACGAATATTTTTCACAAGGAGAAAGCAATGAAGAAGTACGATGTGGATACTGGCAGAATTTTGAGTGATCGCGCTTATGTTATTTCACTCCATATATTTATTTATCGCTACCATGAAAATGTGTAGCTAAGCTCTCTCCTATTGAGGTTAGATGTATTTAACTTTAGTTTAATGTACTACGTTTGATCACAATGTTATATATGTTTTAGTTATTTATTTGTATTCATGTTTATTTTTGTATTTATTTCTTGTTATAGTTTGATCAATTATAACTTGATATTTGGATTTAAATTGCTATTAAAAAATACTCATTAAATTTAGACCTAAGATATTCAAATGTTACTCACTAAACTCTAGAGATAAATTTAGGTTTAACAGTCACATTTATTATTGATACTTAACACGATTGCATTGGTCAATTGATTGAGAGATCTTCAATTGAGAAATAAGATTGATTTTGCAACATTACTTCAAACATGATCTAGTATACTTGTGGTAACACATATATTGCGTTGTTTGTTGCACATTTGGTCATCATTCTTTGTTTAATGATTTTGGATATTTTTTAAATTGCATCCGATCTCTTTTAAAGGAGGGTATTGAAGGTGAGAAAATACTTAGAAGGGGGGGGGGGGGGGGGTTGAATAAGTATGACAAATAATCAAAGATTCAAACACAATTATTTTTATCCTGGTTCGTTGAACTCAACTACTCCAGTCCACCCTCTCAAGAGTGATTTGCCTTTCTCAGTCAAGGACTTAATCCACTATTTAATCAAACAGATTACAATAGTAACACCTAAGAACAACTGTTCTTAGTCTTCTCAAGAGCTACTGATCCCAACTGGATCCTCTTAAGGAAACCTTTTACAATCAATGTAAAACTATTACAAGAATAAGAATGCTTCTAAAAAGCTATTATCACAACTGTGATATTTCTCTTAAGTTTAAGAACAATGTTACAGTAAATAGAATATAAGAGCTTTTGAGAGATTAACTTTGATAAGTGATTTTTGCAAGAATTTCGTCTCTTGAAGAAGATGGAGTGGACTTCTTTATATAGGCACTTAGATCCATGAAGTCTTCTCAACGTTGGAGGTTGTGCTGAAAAAGCCTAGTGCCTTTTGTCTTTACGTTGGAGGCTGTGCTAAAAAAGCCTGGTGTCTTTTGTCTTCACGTTGCAGAAACTTTCCTTAGAATGGAATGCACAGATAAAACCTTTTTGTCTGTGTTCTTGTGTCTAGCATAAAAGAGGAAAGAGCTGTTGAGATATGCCAACGGACATATTCAAATCTTCTTCACTAAGTAAGTTCAACTATCAACATCAGACTCTGGATCTTCAGAATATCCAGAGTAGAGATCTTCTGGATCTTCAGAATATCCAGAGTAGAGATCTTCTGGATCTTCAGAGTCTTGGGATGTTCTTTAGATTATGCTGAATCAGAGTATATGCAGCTTGTGTGCTTGAGCGTGTAGTTCTGTCAGAGCAGAGTCTTCTATATCAGATTCTCAAAACTATGCAGCGCAGTCTCTTCAGAGTCTTCTGATGACTAAGCTTCTGAACTCTCAGAGTCTTCTATTCTTTAGAGGCTTCTACTTCAGAATCTTTAGTAGACAACACTCAGATTCTTCTGGAGACAACGTTCAGATCTTCATTTAAGATGCTCTTGAACCTTTGAAGCCTTTCATAATATCATTGTTCAGATCCAAATTTGCTCTTTAAGAATATTTTCTTTAGTACCTGTAGCAAACAGTCTAGAACAAATTTAGAGTATATAATTCTTGAATACAAAATTCATAAGTGTTATCATCAAAACATAGAGATATTACTAAGAAATAATCTGTGTTCTTACAATCTCCCCCTTTTTGATGATGACAAAACATGAGAAATTTTGTTCAATAAAAAGTATGAATTATAACTCCCCCTGAGATTAACAATCTCCCCCTGAAATGAATACTCTAATAGAAGAAAACACTTCCCTTTTTGATTAAGTATATTTCAGATTCAGAGCCTGATGCAAGAGGTTTGATTTTCAGAATCAAATCTTGATGCTAGATAATTATGACTTCCTTCAGTCAGAGCGCCTGGTTATCATCTTGCTTGAATTATCTTTCAGAGTAAAGGTATCAGAGTAAGATATTAGAGTTGATTGAATACTCAGATTTGCTTTGGAAGATCAGGTTCTGGTTGGAAAAGTCTCAGGGTAACTTCAATGAATTATGTTAGATATATCAATGTAATCTGAAAGACTTAAATTCAAAGTAAGTTAATAAAATGTCTGAATTTCAGTTTTAGTAATTGCTTATAGGTTGAACAATCAGATTCTCTTTTTCTCCCCCTTTTTGTTATAATCAAAAAGATTTTTAAAGACATAAAGATACAGAAGAAAAGAAGCATATAGAAGCAAAAACATCAACTTTCATTTAAACAGATCAGAGTTCACAATCAAACAAAGTCACAAAAGAACAGATAGATGCCAAAGAGCATAACAAAACAATAAGAAAACAACAGAAGCAATAACATGTGCAAAAACATCAAATAAAACTAAGTCTAGCGTGAGGCAATAAGGGTCAGAAGCTCTGTCATTTTGGTTGTTGACTCTTCTTGCTTAGACATCCAGGTCTTGATCTCATCAGTTGTCTTCTCTTGCTGTACCATCCAATCTTTTATTTCCTTGACATCATTCACAAGCTCTGTGACCACAGATGAAAAAGAAGCAGATGCAGTAGCAGCATTATTCTTGTCAGACTGGTTCTCTTCAGAAGCTTGTTCAACCAATTCAGATGCAGGAGCAGCTTCCAGAAGCAACACAGGAGGAGGAGGAATGTTCATCAGAGTTATCTTGATTAACTCTGCAAATTGAGTCTTTGCAAGCTTAGAACATTTAGCTCTAACTTTTAAAGCAGCTTTGTTGAACATCCAGATGAAACGTTTCCAAGAAGCATTTGAAACAGCCGGATCCAAACTTGACAAGCACACTTCCTTAACACGAGCATACTCAGAATCTATCTCCTTCTTGAATATTTCAAACATAGTATTAACACATGATCCTAGATCTGATTGTTCAGATGGTTTAGGATTAGGAGTGTTAATAGGAGTAGGTTCAGATGGTTGTGGTTGAGGTGGTGTTGGTTGAGATGTTTGGGTGTCAGACTGAGGGAGTTCAGATGGTTGAGGGATGGT